ACGGTACCGACTACACCACACGGCTTCCTTTCTACCGGTGGTCAACACCAGGACGGTTACGGCCGAGTACAAGAGCCTCTTGAAGGAATCGCTAGATGCAGTGTGCGCGGCTCCCCATATTAGTGGGGCCATCGACCTGGATCTCAACGACGACACGGATGTCCCGCTGGTCACGAGGTGGCGCTACTGGCACGAGCGAGCGGAGGCAGCACTCAACATCGCAGTGGACAAAAAGCTGGTGGAGATTGACCGCCTACCTGAGAGGAGCAAGGGCTCCCAACCCACGCAGAGGCCAGCAGCACATGGACCTCGGTTTCGACCAGAACAAAGTATTGCACACAGGCGTCTTCTCCGCCTCCATCGTCGCTTCTCGGAGGCGCTCAGGCAGGGAACGCCAGCGATGGCTGAGGTCTCTCCACGGCACTTCATGGATATTGCCAGAGCGGCCTTCGAGGGTATTGTCAACATGAAAGCAGAAGGTTTTCCTTGTTATGCGGATTGTCTCCAGTGGCTGACGGCAGCCATATCAGCGGAGAATATTAAATTGCAACGCGAAGCCCAGAGATCTTGGAAAGAAAAGTTTGCAGCGTGGTCCACAGAGGTGTATAAGGTGGCCACGCCTATGTTCAAGCAAGCACCCCCAGCATCATCTTGCCATGTCTCGCAGTTCGCCGAGGAGTGGGAAGCACAGTGGAAGCCTGGGAATGTTGACAAACAAGCACACCTTCGAGCCTGGCAACATCGCGCTGATCAAGTTGAGTTTCCGAAGTCGACTTTACATGAGATGTGGCTGCCAACGAAGGAACAGTTTGATGAAGCGCTGAGAAGTTCCAAGGGTTGTGCTGGATTGGATGGGTGGTCCTTTAGAGAGATTCGTATCCTGGCGGACTTGTACCCAGAGATCATCGCAGAACTCTACACGCTGTGGTGTGATACTTCCAGGTATTGCATTGAACATGAAGGCTGTCCACCAGGAGAACTCCATGATCTGGTATTCGCCTGGAGAGTGGCAGGTATGCCCAAGGGAGAGGATGACACGAGGCCTATCAGCGTGGGCAGCGTGTTGCTACGTATTTGGCTCAGAGCATTGGCATTTGCAGCTCCTGAGCCGCCAGAAGGCCAATGGGCTAATCGAAAGCATATATCAGTCACCCACGCGAT